TCCCTTTGCAGTAATGCCTCATAGGAAGCTTTCAGCTTCACAGTTTGGGATTGCTCCTACACGGACCTGCCTCACTAAACACCTCACACCCTGGGAGGGCACTCCACAGGACAAGTAAAAGGCACTTGGTGCTTACCTCTTGGAGAGAAAACAGCTCAGGCAACTGAGGAGACACCCAGCTACACCTGAAGAGAGGCTATGCACCCCTCCAAATGAGATGCAGTTAGTTAGAAACAGCCAGCATCAGAGGCAGGTGGCAAGAAGACAAATCCAGCTAGTTCTCTAGCCCCCACACATCCCACTCTCTCACAGGATCTTCAGGCAGGACAAGCGTGAGGACCCGGGCTGATCCCATTTGTGGGTGGAAGCCAGCAGATCCTCCTGCAGGAGGTCTTGTCACAGCAATTAGCAATGTTGCTCATTGTCCTTCGCTTCCTTATTTCGGAAGCAGGCTTAGCAGAGCAGATTCTGCACATGACCTCCAAAGCAAACCTATGAGAGCTGACCTAGACATGCAAGTGCAACACTCCCTCAAGGACAGGGGACTGTGGGAAGTAACTGCAGTTTCCAGAGACAGAGACACACCTTCCTCTTCCCCCAGTCGCTTTGTTTTCCCTTGCTGGGATGAGGAAACTCCAGCCATGCACACAGGGCACTTTTCCTGCCTACCAAGCAGCTTGCCCTTTCTGACTGGCATGCCTCGCTCTGCTAATACAGGCAACAGAGGCATTGGTCAAAGGCAGACATGTAGCTGAATACAATTCTAGTTTAGCACACATACTAAATGGCCACAGCAGGATCAAAGCCATGCTTCTTTCCATGGCTGGGTATGACACCTTTTTTAATCCTTTTTCTGGGAAGTCATGGCCTTCGGGCTTTCTCTACTGTTTTGGGATTTTTGGGTTTGTTTTTTGAAGGAGCGCCATATGCACTAGAGAAGTCCAGCCACTCATCTTGAAGCACTATAAGCAATAACCTATTCTAGGTGATTAATTCATTTTATTACAGCACATTGACGCGCTATGGTCTCTTATACCTAAACTTCCCACCACAGAAGGAATCTACAGGCAAGGTACTAATGAACAAAAACAAACCCAAAGCATGACTGACCTATCAAGCCTTTTTAAACTAGAATGGTCTAAGCTTAAAACAGCTACCTGCTAAGACTTATTCAAAGAAATACACAGAGGACAGATAAATATATACATATGCACACGCACATAAATAAGACTGAAAAAAAGTAAAAAGAGCAACTGTTTGCCACAACACTTGTCAGCACTGAGATTTATACATTTAGACTGATCCTTACTCCTACTTATTGCCGCCTTCCCTCTAATTTCCAAAATTGCTTATTAACCAGCTGTTCTCATAGTTAGTTTTATCAGCTGTTAGACACATAAACAAACAAATTACAAAGTAAGTACGGAGAATGCTTAGAAGGAATGAAAAAATGCACTAATGCATACTGTATTGAAATTCAGCTGTCATTCATCCAGTCTATTCCTT